GGCTGCCCTGTATCCCGGTGTGGCCGGCAAGCCGGATTTCTGACCTGACTCGACGCAGTTCCTATTTCACTGTGCCTTGTCCCGATTTGCTCCATTCCCTCGAGCTTTATTCCTGTTTTCCTCATGGACGGTTTGGCCACAAATTACTCAGGTCGAAAACAAAGCAAGTGAACACAGGGGCACTCCAGAGGAGAGCTAAAAAGATTCAAACACAGAGGAAGAGGGAACACAACTCTCAAGGACAAGGGGGCACAGATTTTGCCCCTTACTAAGAAGAAATAAATAGAGCGCACAAATATACAGAGAGAGACGGGGTGGAAAATGCCACGGTTTATGTAACTGCCTCTCTTTTGTGTGCCAGTAACGAGGCAGGAACTGTTCACACTCCCCATGCCATGTGCCAGGCAGAGCTGGACTCTGAAAATTAAACCAGAAGATTTCAGTAGACTAGCGTACCAGTCCGCTCGGCGTGTGTCTATAAATATATGGGGCATATACACACATATATAGTCAAGTTGTGTCGCTACCGTGCTCTGCGTAGGCATGACCCACACCGACGCTGCGTCTGGATCAGACCTCGCGTTTCAGACCTCGCTTTTCTCCAAAACCCCGTTCTCCGAAATGAGGCCACATCGCCTTACACAAATCCTTTACATTCCCCCCCAGCACTCCACTGAGATCTATTAACTTCACATCCCGCAGTTCCATTGCGATAGCCCTCAGCTTGCCAGAATATACGACCGCCAACCGCTGTTTGAGCTTGTCAGAGAACCATGAACTACAGCAGGGAGACTGGCACCAATGTCCATCGGACTTGGGGGCACGGAAAAGGGACTGGTCACACTTTAACCCAAAAGGTACAATGGATTCACTGTGTAAGTCAAGATCTCTGCTCACTCAGACTCTAAGGGCTCGTGGTTTCATTTGATGATCTGGGAAGCCTGGCTCAGAGCATGGCCGCAAGCTCAGCCCAGAAATGAAGCACAAGCAAGAGTGGATTGAACTGTATTCAATTGTATTTGGCCTTTTATTCTGCAACTGTGGGCCACGCACTTGAGCGGGGGTGGGATGGGTGCGTGAAGATAGTCATGCTAATACTTAATTGCATGTCACAGAGGGGAGAAATATTTGCCGATAGATATCAAGCTAAAGAACAGCCAAAAAGCAACCCAACTATTCCTTCTGCCAAAGAAGTAGTCACGGTTCCTGGGCCCATCAAAGCACAAGATATCTCACTCAATAAGCAACGAGACTAAGTGACTATTGACTGGTCTGTAGGCAGCTGAACGACTGGTACTCTGGATTGTAATGGGGAATCCATGGAGTTAATTAATGCATGAATATCATATGCACACACGCACCCACAGAAAAATTGCCCAATGTGAAGTTAACTGATCTCAGTGGAGTGCAAAGGGGTAAGTGTAAATGATTCACGTAGGACCATGTACACAAACACACACACGAACAAACGGGACACAATCCAAACAGAGGGTCAGATCCACAATGGAGCCATGCTAATTTACACCAGAAGATGATCTATCCCAGAGACAGGCAGTATTACAAGACCCTTCTTTGTGGGTGCGAAAACTTTCCTGGCCTTTGTTTTTAGAGAGACACTTTTAAAGTCCTATCTACTCCAATCAGACTGCTGTCATGCAGCTTCATTTTCAGTCACTTGCCTAAAGAGTTATTGCTTTCGAGCTAATGAGTTTCAAGTCATTATGGTGGAGGGCGGGGGAGGCCCCTCTCCTAGGGTGGAACCCCTTTCCCTCACCAACTTTTCCGCTCTCCTTATTTAGTAACACCCACTGGCTTGGGCCGGGACTGCCGTCTGAAAAATGCAGAGGTGGGGGTTAAGGGTGGGAAGATGTAGGGGAATTAAGAGGAATGTCTACTGCAGGGGCTTGGGACCCAGCACAGACTAAGTAAACGCTGGGGATCTGACAACCCGTAGTCACCGTCTCACAATTAAATGGGGAAATTAAACTAGAATTGAATAAAAACTAAAAAAGGCTTTGGGGGCCACCACCAGGGAAGGGCCCTGAAACAAAACAAAACGAAACAACAACAGGTGGAGCAGCAAGTGGTGCAATTTACAAGATGAAATTCAGTGATAAAAGATGGCATCCGTTCCCTTGCTTTAAAAGAAGGGGCGCCAGTCTCCTTCCCAAAAGGCTTCCTCATTGTTAACACTTGTGGTCGTTCATCAAATCCGAATGACTGACCCAAGTCCAGCACAAATTAACCCTACCCAGGCCCTGCCCGTTGGAGAGAAACTGCGCCGTTAACAGTGTCCAAATCCCCGTGGGGTGTGGGGAAAAGGAAATTGGGGTTACCCGTGGGGGGGAGTCGGCGTGGAACCACATGGTGAAAAGACACCAAGAAGAGAGGAAAAAAAACCTGGGCTGGACTGACTGACGCACGCGCTTCCCCCCCCATCTTTGCCAGCAATCCTCGCGTGCTCAACCTGCAAAGGCAGGTTTTGCAGAAATCTTACATTTCATAGACAGCATCTTTCTATGTGTTCAGGGCCCAATCCTGCTTCCACTGAAGTCAATAGCAAAATTCCCCAGGATGTCAGAGCAGAATCAGGATCAGGCCCTCATCTATTGGTCCTGCTTTGAGCAGGGGGGTTGGATTAGATGACCTCCTGAGGTCTCTTCCAACCCTAACCTTCTATGATCTATACAGCATATGGATCTCTCTCTCTCTCTGGATATTAAACCTCTGGATTTCGAGATTCCAATCTAGTCCGTAGCGGACACACAACTCTCTCTCTCACACACACACACACGGCGCCTGCAAGTCCACAAAAAAAAAAAAAAAAAGTGTTTTGAGAAGTCAGGAATCTCACCCAACTGTTCATGTCATGAGGCAACGAATATCTGCCTAAAAAGGAGCTGAACGATTCGGGGGAGAGAAATGCCCACAATTATTTAGGACAGTGGGAGGGGATCAAACCAGAAGGAAAATTAACAAGGGGAGAAATTTAGGCTGAGTATTCAGAGAGACTCCCGGACAGTGAAATCTATCCAGCTGTACGATATAGTCTGTCAGGGACAATGTGGATGCCCCCTCGCTTGGGACAGATAAACTAGGCTGGACAAAGCAGTAGGGAAAAGAAAGAACAATACAGACCAAGCCTGTCCTGGCCAAGAGAATGAACTGGATGAGCTAATTGGTCTTTTCCATCTTTAACTTCTGTAACTGATCTATAAAAGCTGCCAGGCAGGCAGCTGCAGAATCACCCTCCATCCTCAGTCCCAGCGTCGCACCGATTGCCATTTCCCCCTCCCATTAAATAAAACGGGTGCGGTGCCTAACAGATGCCCAGTGTCCATCTCAGCTCCCTTCAAGCAAAAAACCCTCCTTCCTCCGGGCCAAGGAGACGCTCCTCGGAGAACGGCTTTCCGACCCTGCACCCTGAAATGGTACCAAAGCCTCCAGCCAGCAATCCATTTTGCATCTGCGAAGTGAGAGCAGCACAAAGTCTAAAGCAAGCCCAGCAGACCCAGAGAAATGGGGGGGGGGGGATTCAAAATCAGACTCTGAAAAAGAGGGTGGGCGGGGGGAGTTTGTGCCAAAGTAGAAGCCTTCTGGTTTATTTTTTAAAATATTTGAAACACTCATTTTTCCCATTTGTTGAGCGCACACAAACCCAAAAAAAAAAAAAAAAAAACAACAAAAAAAACCCAATTAGTGCTAGGATTTTAATTGGCACCCAAAAGATTCCCTCCCGTGAGGATCGCCACCACAGGCATGTTTAACAGACAAATTAAATCCACTCGATTTCTAGTCATTTTAAAGTCACTTAAAGCCATTCGCTGCTTATTCTTCTATTTTTAAATTGCAGTTTAAAATATTACTTTGGGGAGAATTTTGTTTTTAGATTAAAAATTCTTAAACAATATCCAAAAGGGGAAAATAAAACCATTTACTGCCATTTAAAATAAAAGGCACTCAGTGGACTGATTTGGGCATGAGAGAGACACAGCATTAAGCGCTATTGAGAGCATTCATTTGGTGTGGAAATAATTATTTGTTTAAAAAGAAAATGATTTCACTGGTAAGTGCGGAAAAAATGCTCCAATTTCTGATCAAATCCTTTATCGTTCTAAATCCCAGCACTCTGAAAATTAAAATGGAGATCTAAAACATGCACTTAAAAATGCTCAATTTAATAGTCCTTTTTAAATAAAGCATATCCCATATATTGAATGATTCAGATAAAGTGTTTCTAATGAAAAAGAAAAGAGTAAAACCACCACTTAATTCCAAGGAATCTCTCTCAAAATTTAAATTGTCAGCATTTAAACAAAAAATAAATCAGACTAATAAATGGTGAGGTTTTAATATTATTTCAAACCAAATCTTTGGAAATGAAAAAGTACCAGAAATAGCACTAAAATATTGTCGTTTTTCCCCCTATAGATGAAAACTTGGGAAGAAAAATTATGAGCCTAAAAGTATTTTTTTACCATTAATATCTTGCTGCTCCAGTCACCCAAACTGTATTTTTAAAGTGCTGTCCTTTAAACTAGAAAGCTCAGCATCACCCAGAAGAAGAAGAAGAAGAAGAAAGTGCATCTTCAAAAATGGACAAAATATTGATGTTTAAAAAAAAAAAACCTGAAAATGTTTACCATGCTTTCCAAAGAGATCAATTTTTATGCTAATTTCTTACACTGGAAAACGAATTTTTAAAGTGGGAGTTTACACAGTTTCATCTAGAGCCCACCAAAACAAAGTTAAAATAATTTCCTAACTATTCATTCACTCCAGGGATTGCAGTTGCATATATTTCCCTGCCTTTGTATTTAAACTCAAACTCACATTTGGATTAATCCATCACCTTGCATTCTGGTACACAAAGCAAAGAAACGAGTGTGCTTTAATTTCCCCCAAACATCTAATCCAAAAGAGACAATCACCACGGTCACCAGTGCAAAAATTTAAAATGGATTTCCCCTCCCTACAAAAACTAGGAAGGCAAAAAAAAGATAGGTATGTCTAAAGAGATTTATTTTTCGTTCGTCTGTAGCCAAGGAAAGCTAAAATGAGTTTTTGCATTGATGCCTGAACACAAAGGAAACACAATTCAAAGAACAAACAAAAACAAAACAAACAAACAAGATATAGGTGGTTTTGAGGTTGCAACAGCCCACATGGCTCAACAGCAGTTCATATAAAAAGACTTAACTGAAGCTGTAGATGAATATACGTTCTATCTTGATGCAACAGAGTTAAAACCATCAGAAACTGAAACAAACTGGTTATTTAAAATGCTTCGCACAAGCAGCACCTAAAACGTACCAGTTCCCAAAGTTCACACGTGGTTTGTTTGTCTTTAAGACTTTTAGTTTTCCCTAAGATTTCCTTTTTTTAAATAAGCAACTTGTTAAAAACCCCCAAACTGCTATGTATATTTTGTTTTACTTTCACACAAAGCATAAATTGCAAGATTAGGTGCATTTTCTTTTCTCTTTTAAAATCATCAAGGTTAAAATAATATGGTTTCCCAGGGGTTAATAAATAAATCTGGTGCATAGTGATACAGCAGCCAACTGATTGCAGTCCATATATTACTATATTGCCTTTCAGGTCATCTTAGAATGTTACCTTTTTCCCCCCCAATTATTTTTAACAGCATAGATCATTTTAAATCTCTATAAAACAACAGCATTATTTAATCCAATTGATTCCTGTATATAGTGCATTCGGCTTTTTCAACATAATTAAATTAATCAATTCTTATATTATTTGCATGCTATTACATACAAACTTTCGTTAAGACTTGTGATTTTTTTTAAGGCTTTTTTTCTTAAATCACCAAGCAAAATATAGTCTCAGAGAGAAAAACAAAGGCAAAAAACTAACTAAATTCTACATATGTACAAGTGGACACCTTTAAATAAGTTAAGTTTGGCTCAGGTTTCCTTTTTAAAACAACAACAAGAATTATTAGTAAGAAAAGGAGATAAAAAGCAGGTAAACTCAACTCTTTTTTTGGAGTCTGAAGTCCCAAGATATATATTCCAGTCCCTTTTGTGAGTGTTTTGCTGCACTGTTCCACTGAGAGAGAAAACATCACTTTGCAAACATTTTAAGACTATTTGTTATTTAAGATGCACCCAACAAGAGTGCTGCAAACTAAAAACTGACCGTTGGGGGGGGGAAACAAAAACAAAAAATATTACCAAGAGGGGGAAAAAACTGGATCATGCTTTTTCTTCATCTGTTCTAGTAGAAAAGAAGGGGAGATTATTGAAATACCATACATGTCCTGCATGCAGGATTGCTTAAAAAGTCTTCTAAGAACCACAGTTAAGTTGCACAGTTCCTTGGACGCCGCTTTATTAATTAGTATGATTATTAAGAGTATATAGGAGGATTTCGTTACGATGCACTTTTTCTCCCAAAACGATTTTGGTTGGTTACCCAGTTTTCCAGGAGGCGGGGGGAAAAATGCAGGTTTGCTCATTATTTCCTTCTTCCCTGTTGCTTCGAGTCTTTCACTGTTCAGTTTGTCTTTCCCTCCAGCCAAAGCTTGGTCTGGTCTGGTCGGGCTTTGTTTTTGTTTTTGTTTTTTAAAGTTTGTGCGATCACAAGGTTAAGACTCAGGAGTGAGCGTGTGAGCATGTCTGGAGGCGGCTGTCACCTTGCCGCCTCGCCTCTCCCGGTCCCAGCTCGGGCTCTCTTGCCCGGGGGACGTACAAAGGCAGGAGGATGCGCTGGGGGAACGGGCAGGACCCCGGGGCGCGGCTGGAACGGAGGCGAGCTGGCCGCAGGGCTGGGGCTCTCGTGGGCAGCCCAGGCGGGGGAGGGAGGGAGGGAAGGAAGGAGACGCAAGCGGGGGCGCTGGGGGGACGGGGACCTTGCCCCGCACTGGGAGGGGGGGCGCCCGCTTGGTGAGTTGGTTTGCAGCCCGGAGACGCACACAAAAACAGGAGTCTATGTACAGCAGCCGGCCCCTCTAGGTACACGGAGTCCCGGGGGCAGTGGGGAGGCCGAGCACCCCCCCCCCCACACACACACCCCCACTTTCCCCGTTCACATGAAGAACTCGGCCGAGGCTTTGGGGGGAGCCTGCGGGGGCGGCTCCCGGGGGAAGCCGCGGCCGGCCAGCTTCTCGTACTTCTCTTTGTACAGGTCCCGCTCCTTGGCCAGCCGGGAGACCTCCTTCTTGAGCTGCTCCACCTGGCCCTGCAGCTGGGACTTCTCGTTCTCCAGGATGTGCCGCTGCTGGACCCGCTTGTAGCGGCAGGACTGGGCGTAGCCCCGGTTCTTCAGCGTGCGCCGCTTCTGCTTGAGGCGGATCACCTCCTCCTTGCTGAAGCCCCGCAGCTGGCGGTTCAGCTCCCGCACCGACATGCTGACCAGCTGCTCGTCCGAGAAGCGCTCCTCCAGCCGCAGGAGGTGGTGCGGGGGGCCCGCGTGGTGGTGGTGGTGGTGGTGGTGCGGGGGGCCCGCGTGGTGGTGGTGGTGCGGGGGGCCCGCGTGGTGGTGCCCGGCCGGGGCCGCCTCCTCGCCGGGGAAGCCCGGGCCGCGGAAGCCCTCGTAGCCGTGCAGCGGGTGCGGGCTGCCGATCAGCGCCTCCACCGCGTCCTCCGGGGTGAGGTTCAGCGCCTCCGGGTTGAGCGGGGGCTGGTAGCCCGCCATCCAGTAGAGATCCTCCAGCGGTGCCTTGCCGGCGCTGCCCGGGTGCGGCGCGGCGCCGGGGCCCGCCGGGCCGCCGGGGCTGGGCGCGCAGAAGCTGGGCGAGGACGGCACCGAGGAGCAAGGGGTGCTGAGGGGGGTGGAGGAGAGCGAGCCCGGGGGGAGGCGGTGGCAGAAGCGCTCGGCCTCGGGCGGCTCCTTCTTCACCTCGAACTTCATCAGGTCGAAGTCGTTGACGTACTCGATGGCCAGCGGGCTGGTGGGCAGCTCGCCGCTCATGGCCAGCTCGGAGGCCATCTCAGTCCATGCACCGGCGGCGCGGGGCTGGCCCTGCCCGGCGGGGGGCTCGGCTGCGCCCGCCCGAGGCGCCCCGGATCTCCCCGCCTGCGACCCTGGGAGCCCCTCGCCCCCGGCTTGAGCCTGGGCCGGGTGAATCAAGAGGTCGTTCGGGGCAGTTCAGAGCCTCAGCCAAGGCGCCGCGGGGAGAGTCGCAGCCGGCGCATGGGGGGCCGCGGGGAGCAAGCGCCGGACACGGGCCGGGGGGCGTCTTCAGAGGCAAGTTGCGCTGCCCCAGAATCCGGATCGGAGGGGCGCGGGCGGGCCGCTGCGGCCCCTGGTCCCCGCCCGCTGGGTCTTGCCCAGACTTGGCTGCGCCCGCCTCTCTCTCTGTCTCTCTTCTCGCCCCCGGCTTTGCTCGGCGGACGGCCGGCTGCCAGCGGCAAAGAGCCCCCCGAACTCTGCTCTGCAACCCCCCCCGCCCCCGGGCTCCGCTGGCGCCCTCCCCCCGAGGCTGACGGCTCAGTGCAATGCCCCCCCCCCCCGGCCACAACGCTGGGCAATGGCCACAGAGGGGCCCTCCGCCTGTGGCCCCTGCCCCCTACACTCAGCTGCAGCAGCTCCCGCGACCGCCGGCCCGTCTCCCGCTTCGCAAGCACTGAGGTGCTGAATGGGGCACTCCGCCTTTTATAGGGAGCAATGCCTGGCCCCGCCTCCCCGGGCGGGGGCAGCCGCCTCCCCACCTATAACAGCCAGTGCAATTTGCCTATCCCTATAGCAACCCTGGGGCCAGCTGTCAATCTGCTGCGGGAACAGCTGTAAGGGCGGGGGCAGGGACAAGGTCCCTCCAGTGGCCATGAACGGGAGTAGCATAAATAGAGCAAGGAATCTACTCTCGTGTAAGAAGAACAGGAGGACTTGGGGCACCTTAGAGACTCACCAATTTATTTGAGCATGAGCTACAGCTCACTACAGCTGTGACTTTAAAACTACTCTAGTGTAAGTGGCTGCTGCCCAAACCACCCCCCCCCCCACCCTTTACTTCTCACAGCAAATCCAGAGCCCAGGGCTCATTGCACAAGAAGATTCTCTGAACAATTAGTTTAGCCTTAAATGTATGCCACAAAACCCCAGCATTTTTATTTTACCGTATGCAAAATTCACAGATCTAGTCTAATAATTGTCTCCCTTTGAATTCATCAGCCCCAAGGGGAAGAAATAAGTTTGACAGTAAAGACAGATTTCTTGGCCCTTCAGGGCCAGCTCTGCTCCTGAACCAGGGCAGTAAAACTGGGTTTGCACTTTTTACCCTTGCTGTGCACTGGCAGGAAAGGTGAATGCAACTCTTCCACCCACTCCCCAGACACATACAGCCTCACTGCACTCCCCCCAACACAAATACGCAAGTAGGCAGGCACACCCCAAGCTTGTCCACGCTTGAGATGCCGTTACCCATAATAATTATAATCCAAAAGGCAACTGCTCCGATACACCCTACAATTCTCCCAACACACCCATGGAGATGTAATAATGACACACAAACCACACACCACAACAAAGGTGCACACAGCAGGGCAATGCATCCCCCCCACCACTACTGTCTCTCTCTCTCACACACACACACACACACACACATCCATCTGCATTCCTGGAGCTCTGTACAATAAAAACACAAACTTCAATATACACATTGCATCTAGCTCCATAGGTGTACTGGGAGATATCTGCCATGCATGAATCACATACATCTTAATACACGCAAATTGTACACATCCAAGACACATTTCAATGCACGCTAGCTGTCACACTAACTGATACACACCCCAAAACTGTACTTTTTCCCAGTACCACAAAGGGCAGCAAGCAGCCCAGGCATACTTATAACCCTGCCTTCCCCCCCCCACCCCTACCCCTCCAATCCACCTGCCTCAAATCCCACAGCGAATACATACAGACTGACAAACTGCAATAACCAAAGGCTTCCCCCTCTGAGGGTAGTTAGTTCATTGTCATACGTGCTGGCTGTCGTTGGGGTTGTCGTAAGCTAGTTAAAATGCCCTGCCTTTGCTCTCAGCAAATTGTAACTTTCCTATCAGGGCTCGGCCAAGCAAAAGGAAAAACCCTCCCTCAAAAGAGAAGGGAAAAACCCAGAACGTGGCTTATTGATTTCAAATATCTGCAGTGTCAGATTTCACATGAATTAGAGTCTAACAACCCAGCCCGCTGCAGGGCTCGTTGTCTCTCCATCAATCCCACGTTCCCCAGGCCAGCACCAAACCGCTTCCTGGGCGCTGCTGGCTGGCATGCCCCCAAATCTTGTGCCAAAAATCCTCTAGCCACTGGCCAAAATCCCACAGCCCCAGATTTAGCTGGGGGGAAGAACACAGCCCCGCAGTTCCCATTCCCCTCAACAGTGTCAGTTCACAGAGATAATGGCAGGATTTCCAAGTGGAGTGATTCACTGTTCATTTGCCACCGCCACCCCGGCAAGGTCGGGATTCAGCTATTTTTGCACACACCACCCAGCTGAGGCAGGATCAGGGGCAGAACCCCAGCGTGAAGGCCCAGAGACCTTGTCTGTTGCTGCTCCAGGATGAGGGCCAGTTTGTTCCCTGCATATGCCCGCCCTGCAGAACAAGCAACAGGGTGGGGTCCTGGTGTCAGAGAGGCCAATCAGTAGCGTGCCTGGACTCTGCTCCCAGCCACCATGCTTGGGGAGGAAGTCCTTGGCCTGCACTGAGGGTTTGGGGCTGGAAGCGTGTCAATGGGAAGATGACCAGAAGCTCCCAGGTCTGACCTTACTATAGAGTTTCTCCACAATTGAGGGGAAGGATCCCACCCTGAGGGAGGAAAATTATCCCAGCACAGTGTGTCCCAAGCCAGGTTACAGTGATGGCATGAACACGACAGCATCACTACTGGAAGGTACAGGGTCCTCTGGACTGTTTATGCAGCATACCCATTCTCCAGCCATGATCCATGCTACAAGGGTGAGCCTGTGGGAGAGGGGGCTGATGGTCTATTGAGGGCTCTTAAACCAGGGGGACAGAATGGCTGGTGAGGAGAGAAGAGGAGAACCAGGTGCTACTTCCAGTTCTGCTTCCCATTGGCTGCATAACCCTGTGAGAGTCCCTGCACTGCTGTGCCTCAGTTTCCCTTCCTATGCAATGGGAATAATGGGATACTTACCCAGCTTATAAAGTGCTTTAAGATCTACAGATGGAAGAACACTGAAGGATTAATATATTAAAGGTATTGACGATTAAAGAGATTGAAAAGATGGGGACAGATTAGTTTAGAGAGGAAACAAATAAGAAGGGCCACAATAGAGGTTTGCAAAATAATAAATGAGAGAAAAGTGGTGAATTGGGCACTCCTCCTATTTAGTCTTTCAGATACAAGAGCAAGGGGAAACTGAAGGCAGAAAATTTAAAATGGCTTCAAGGAAACACTTTTTCATGCGGTGCATGGTTAGCCAGTGGAACTCACTGCTACGTGATATCACCAAGGTCAGGAGCTGAGCAGGATTCAAAGGACTGGAGAATAGTCACATGAGGTCAGATTAAAAGTAAGGGAATGATATCTGCAAGTTTTAGGATATAAACCAAATCATCAACTGATGAGAATAAGGAGGGAAATTCCTTTATCAAGTTAGAAGGGACCGCAAGGGTCAGCTAGTCTAGCCCCCTGCCAAGATGCAGGATTTGTTGTGTCTAAACCATCCCAGACAGACGGCTCCAGCCTCCTTTTGGAAACCTCCAGTGAAGGAGCTTCCAAACCCTCCCTAGTCTGTTCCTCTGTCCATAGCTGTGCACTGGGGCATTTCTCGTACATCCCTCTGACGCATCTAGTGCTGGGCAGTGTCAGAGACAGGATACTGGACTAGATGACCCAGCCTGGCATTTCCTAAGGCTTCACTGGGACATGAAAGCCCGGCGAGAGTCAGTCCGATCCATGCAGAGTCTAACAATGCAGCCACTCCAGTAACCTTACAAGATCCCAGTCTCAGCGGTATCCGTTTAAAACCATACTCCAGTATCCTACCTTAACGGCCCCAAGACAGCCCGGCGGGCGGTCACGGTGCTGCAGGCTGTGTTGTTTAGAAGTGTTCCTGAAGAACACTCACACGGCTTTAAAAGTAAGGGCTCTCTCCCCTAAGCCCACCAGATGGGCTGGCCTGGAGTCAAGAGGAAGCTGCACCTCCGCCCCACGGCTGTCACTCGCCCCTTGATACAGAGTGAGATAGCTGCAAAGCAAAGGCCTCCTGCTCAGACAGGCTCTGCACAGCTCCTGCTGGCTCAGCAAAGGAGGCGGCGCTGGGTTGGCTCAGGGAGCCAGAGTTGCGATCCTGCGAGAAGCCTGATCCCAACCTCAGCTGGGGTGAGGTACAGGAGGAAGGATCTTTGTTCTCTCCTCTCCTCTGATCGGTTCCAAAAAACCCAACCTCTCCTCCTCTCTAGCAACTGCAAAGGCGGGTGGGCGCAGGGATGGGTTTTCTTCAATTAATGCTACGAGCTGCTGTATTATGGTGATGTATTATTTGTTTAGCCATAGCAGCTAGGAGCCACAGTCACGGAGCAGGACCCCATTGTGCTAGGCGCTTTACAAACACAGAACAAAAAGACAAGCCCTGCCCCCAAATAGTTCACAATCAAAGTACAAGATCTTCTGGCAGCTGGGGTGCAGCAGAGTCCCAAAAAGGCCTGCCTCCTTCCCCAGAAATCCACCCTCAGGAGCTGCCCAGTCTATGAAGTTCCACCCCACGCTAATTACAAATCGGAACAGATCTCAAAAGCCATTTAAAAACGGACAATTCTAGGGTAGTTCAGCACCTACAGACACAACACTGAGGATGCCCAGCTCCAACTGAAGCATTATTAATTGGAGATTTGGAACATTAGCTACAGTATTTGGGCACGTAAAAAGGCAGCAGAAGGAATCAGAATCAAGAGTACTGCATAGGCTATTAATACATTCACTAAATGGATTAAAGGCTGACTAACTGATAGGTCTCAAAATGTAATTGCACCTGGGTCATCATCCTCCGGCTCTTGGCCCTCTGCTATTTAACATTTTTGTTAATGACCTGAAAGAAACTATAAAACCGTCCCTGATAAAGTTTGCAGATGACACAAAAATGGAGGGAGAGGTAAATAATGAAGAGCATAGGTAACTGATACAGAGCAATCTGGATTGCTTGGTAAACTGGGCTCAAGTAAACAATGTGCATTTTAATCTGGCTCAGTGTAAATATATAGGACACAAAGGACACAGGCCATGGTTCAGGATGGGGAACTTTATCTTGGGAAGCAGGGACTCTGAAAAAGACTTGGGGGTTGTGGTGGACAATCAGCTGAACATGAGCTCCCAGTGTGACACTGTGGCCAACAAAGCTAATGCGATCCTTGGATGTGGAAATGGGAATCTTTAGTAGGAGCAGAGAGGTTACTTTACCTCTTTATTCAGCGC